TAGTGGATTTGGGCCTCAAGAGGTCAAAGTTCTTGTAAAGAAGGAAAATCCTTAAATATTCTACGGGCATAACTTATTGAAACATTTCACGGATCAGAATGTTCGAGTGTATCCCAAATATGCATTTCAATAATAATTTATAATCAATTGAGATTAATGTTATACAAGTTAAACGGCATGCTACATGAATAAATATTTAGCATGAAAGATTAATAAATAATTATTGTAATTTGTTCGTTCAATTCAAGCTTTCTAAATTATTTTCCGTTATATCTAAATATAAAAAGGTTATTTAGTTGTGTACATTTGTATTTTCATCTTATCTGCGGTAGCTCTGTTACGACTTGTTGCTCAAGAAAACAATTTAAAAATCGGTTTCGCATAATCGTAGAACATGTCAACGCTAAAATTAGCCGGTTCCCGATTAAATTGTACACCAATCACGATCACGTCGGTCTGTCTATTGTATTTAAGGTGGCTCATCACGCAGATAGACTTACGGTTGAAAATGCAAACCTAACCTTATTTACTTATCATTTGTTTAGTGTGAACTGTTAATAGGACCGGAAACCGGCAGCTTTGTGATACAATTCTTCAATGATTAAACTACCTGTATCCAAGGTCATAGCCGAAACGAACATTTTGGTAATACATAATTCCCTCGTTTTATTTTCCCGAATAAAAAAAAATGATAATTGTAACATCGCTTAATCGTTTATTGATGTCATTCATCACTAGTAATTGTGAGCATCTGCACGACAATCTTACGGTCGGAAAAATATGACCGGAGTCACGGTTGACCATCTAACAGCGATGTTCTACGATTTAAGAGTACATTTGAAACTATTCAAAGAAGCGTGTTTCAAAGTCCACGGACATGTTAAACGTCGAATCTCCAACAACAGGATTGGTCAGCTAACTCAATCGAATCACGGATATCCCAAAGCCATCAAACAGGTTCTGCTTAGTACTCATATTTAATAAATATTGTCAATAACACTAGGTCGTGGTGTCTATACATATTATATTATACCCTACACCAGTCGATAATAGTTAAGTAACATAACGTCGAGATTAGATCTCCCCGTGAACTCGATAAAGAGATCGTTACATGTGCATTTAAAATTGTAATCGCAACATTTTATGTGTTCATTCACCTTCCAGTTTACACGTAGTTAGGTTTGTGAAGTAATTATTACCAAGTAATAACTAACTAGGTCGTAAAAATTGTCAAACAGCGTTGTTGTTATTCTTGTTGGTAACGCTGAACGAAGATTCTTACCTCGTTATATTGGCGTTTTAATACCGTAGACGATCAACGTATCAACCAATAATGTAAACAATACGATGATTTTCGTGTAATTTTAAATTAGATTTTAGTCTTGACACGTTGTGCGGAAACTTGACAAACTGTAGTTTTTTTTCGCGCCGTTACTTCGAACCACGTCCGTCGGCGACCATATAAAAGACCTATGCCGAAATTCGCGCAAGGAAAAATTTTACGAGCGTAAAAACGTGTACACCGTACGCCACGCGGGTTGTTAGCTCGGATTCGCAGGACTATTACCGTCCGAAAAGTCACGGTGTTATTTTGCGGTCGAAACCGCTCGTTTGATCGCGTACCATATATTGTGTGGTATATACAATCGACTGCCCGAGCGTATTCGTGTACATAACGTGTAGTCGCTGACCGGGTATACGGTTTTGTTTCCAACGTTCGCGTGTTACATGTGATCGGTTACAAAACGTTTTATGATGTTATGCGCACACGACGTCCGCCACGCATAATGAATTAATTAGGACGACTGCAGGACGGGAGGATTGCACCGGCGAGCGCGTGTGCATCGTCCGCGACGACGGGTGAAAGACCGATGGCGGTGGCTGCACCATTCGTTCGAAAATCATTTCCGTCCATAGGTTCTGGAATTATAATTATCACCGTGTACAACGGGTCGTATTCAGGTTAACGAAAATCGACATTTTTCCATTTTTCGATTGGCCCGTGGAGTCGTTAAAAACTTCCTACAAAAAGGTAAACATTTTAATTGTACGTTTACAAAAGTCTTCTGTTTTAAAACAACCATAACTCGCTGTCACTCACGAAAAATAAAAAATAAAGTTTTAAACAAATTCACGTCGACGTAATTTATTTATCGCAGTAATAACTAAGGGTAGGATTCTATAGAATTTACTATTTTTTTTTTTTTTTTTGGAATACTGTGAAAAATAACATAGGAAGCTTTACATTTGTTCTATACATCAATGCATTACATAATAATTTCAGATTTAAAATTTTATACAGCATATTTTTAAAATTTTACTTTTGTATTGCTATTTCTTCAGTTGCGGTGTGGTTTTTTTTTTTTTGTTGTTCGTATTCTTTAATTTGATTTATTTTGTGTTTTTCGTAAATCTCGTAATGTAAATTATATAATAGGAAAAAGTTGTATGTTTAAAATAAAAAAATGTCATTAGAATTTCGCAAAAATATTATAGTCCCTAAAATAGTCCTATCTTTCAGTACCTTTTAGTTCAATAAAATCAAAGCTCTGATAATAACAAACGTTATAATATTATCAGAATATCCATCGAAGTAGTATTTCGTCAGATAAATTATGGCTCTTGTAATTTCATTAATTCGATTAATTAATTTCGTTAAGTTGCGATGGTTTCAATAATAATTATTTCAACAGTTTGTCCGAAACGAAATCGAACCTGACAAAACGTTCGCTTGTCCGGCGGACGGTATCCTGAGAACTACCCCGTACGCGATCGGTTACGAGAAAATAAGGTACTGCGGTTAGATGGACGGCGATCGTTGAGTTGCCGGGAAAGCGGGGACCGTTGCACGGACCAGAAAAAGTCGATGCGATTTCACGGACCGAGAAGACGATTTCCGGGGGTCCGTGGTGATACGATATTTATGTTAACGTTCGTCTGGAGAAGAAAAGAAAAAAAATGAAACACGCCCAAATCGTGTGGTCCGCTGCCGCGTGCATCTGTTACGTTGTCCGTTCCTGACGCGTTTGCCGAGCGCGAGACGAACGCGAAATAGACGTCTTAATATTTTATCATTATCGTTCGACGGCCGCGGGTCGGACACGATGATTAAATACATCAGCGTAACGTCGATATTCGTTGACCCCGCGGACCCGATTTGCGTGCGTACGGATTGCGCAACGATGCACGTATTCGTTTCGTAAAACCAGAGGCTAAAACATATATGGTTTTTCGTTAATGCTCGCTTAAATATTTTGACATAATCCCCTTTCAAACGTTAACAGTAATGAGTAATACAGTTGAAATAGTTGGTATTTTAGATTTCGTTGATATTACATCTTGGAATTTGAAAAATATGTAAAATAATTTGATAAAAAAAAAAAAAAAAAATGTAAAATCGAAAAATAAATTTCACCATAATGTAGAGAATAGAACCACAACACACTTTTCAATTTCGTACTACACAAAATGTATCGTACTGCACACAATTTTAGCCACTGCGTAAAACTTAACGCGAAACCCGTGCACGCGGCCGGACACGGGACGGATGATTCACGGCGAGTGCCTGGTGGACTACGTGCGAAACCGGTCGTGGTTGCACGTACGACCGCGTCCCATCACGTCCTGCTTACGTCCCGAATACGGGCACGATGGTGCATCGTCCGGTGGGCAAACGGTAGTGTTATCGAAGGAGCAGACGCGCTACCGTCACAGGATCTAGGACTAAAATTAATCGCGTCTCGCCGACCCCCGGTAGATTTACAAATTTAATACCGTAACATAGACACCTCCAAACGAGTCCGATGCGTGTGACCGTTTTGATGAACAACTTCAACAGCCGTGTCTATACTCCAGCAGACTCCTTAACGTAATCCACTGCTAATAAGGATTTTTTTTCTCTCTCTCTCTCTCTCATGATCCATCTGAGAGAATTTTTTATTTTTCGTACGCCTATTATAACAATATAACTCGTTTAATACGGGCCTTGGATATTTTAAAATTTATGTTTCGGTATGAATCAACGGTTGCGTTCTCACGTAATTTTTTTCGACGTTTTACTGTTCGAACACGAGAAATTGGGTCACAATAAAGTTGACGGTAAAATAAACGTAGGTATGCAATACAAAAAAAAGATAGAGCAAATAATTAAAAATCAAACACCGAAATCACACGGTTAATGTTATGCGAGAAAGTACTGTGAAAATAATGATTGCGTGGAATGGATTCATTAAAAATATCATTATTGACTATTATTATCAGTAACTATAAACATAAGTATCGAAGTTTGTAAATTGTGTACATATTATTGCGTGTATAACTGGTATAACACAGACATTAATGAATAATTAACTGAAACCTGTACGGAGAAATAAGTTCCATATTTTTTATTTTATTTTTCTATATTGTTGATGGGTCAACGACGAAAAAAGGAACTATTTAATAACTATTTTATTGATATTAGTTAAATTATTTAGAGTGATAATTATTCAAAAATAAAAACAAATATTTATTTGATGTAGTCTATTTATATTTCTTATTAAACAAATATACGTATAAACGTAGCTGTTTTTCGGCATTATTTGACATCGATATGGTTCAAGTTGATTATAAATCTAAGATCAACACTTTATTTTTAATAACTGCCGTTTTATACGATTGTTGTCGAATATCCTAAAATTTTGGATTTTACACGAGTCCGTTCCAAATCATTTAACTATTAATCTTAACTGATAAGCTTGCAAAATTTGTCACCGTAATATAAAATGTATAAACAGAAAATCGAATAAGTGTGTAGTTATGTACTTAATTAAATTACATTTATGTTATACAACATTAAGCACCATGCATGAAACAAAATAAAATATTGCTAAATACCAATACTGATATACTGATATTTAATACTGATATTATGATATACATCATAAAAGTAATAATAACTTCTTTTTTCACCATCGACGTGAACGGATATTTCGTAAGGCGTATAAAGATAAAGTTCAAAGTATGTACTAAAAAATAAGTCTTTATTTTGACTTCATTTTAAATTTACAAGTTTACATAAGTCAACAAAGTTTAGGTATAGTAAACGATAATTTGGTAACAATAACAATTTAAATTGTAGATAAAATGACTAGCAAAAATTACAATATTGCTATCGTTAATGAATACTGTGTTTGTTTTGGCCGTGTTCATATTGATGACGTTCTCCTTCGTGATCACCATGTTCTTCGTACGGTACTGGGACTTCGACTTTCACGGGGAATTTGACCAGGTACGGCACTGGCTTCTCAACGTGGTACGGCACCGGTTTGTCGACCGGGTACGGCACGTGCTTCTCGACGGTCACAGGGTACGGGCGGTCGACCGGTACTTTGACCGGGTATGGCACTCGTTTCTCGACCGGGTACGGGACGTGTTTCTCTACCGGTACGTGAACGGTGTACGGCCTGTCGACGGGCACCTTGACGGGATAGGGTACGTGTTTGGTGACTTCGTATGGCACTTTCTTCTCCACGTAGACGGTGTACGGTTTGGGCACGTGGACGGTGTACGGTTTGTCGACCGGCACCTTGACTTCGTACGGCACTTGCTTGTACACGGTGTACGGTTGCGGGACCTTGACTTTGACTTCGTAAGGGACGGGTTTCTCTACGTGCACCGGGTACGGCTTGGGCACGTGCACCGGGTACGGGCGGTCCACGGGTACGGTGACCTTGACCGGGTAAGGGACGTGTTTCTCCACTTCGACCGGGTACGGCTGGGCTACCTCCTTGATGATCGTTTTAGACAGGACTTTCTGTTCGTGTTCGTGTTGGAAGTCATCACCACTCGCCTCGTGACCGAATCCGGAACCGTACCCATAGCCGGTGTCGACAATTCTTCTCTTGACTTGGTTTTTGTCCTCGTCGAGTTTGCTTCCATCTGGTTTGCTCGCTCCCAACGCGAGTGCACACAGTCCAACGACACAAACCGAAAGTAGTAGTCCGTTCATTGTTGCTTGTATCGAATGAATTGATAGACTGATGATTGCTCATCGTCGTCCCGGGGCTTTTGTAGTAAATTCAGCAGTTCTGCGTCGAAGGAATTCACCACACTGCCCCTACTCTCGTACCAACTCTGTAGTTACATACTTTCCATCGAGACGTTATGGTTGAGTGTTTTAGTTAGATCATCGTATGCATATGATTTTTTACCGAATGGAAAATATTACATAGTGAAATTAACGTTTTTTTAATTATAATATATTACATACTGTACAGTTCAGTCTGAATTATTCGATGTAAAAGTATCTTTTGTAGATTTTTTTTGTTTTCATTTCGAAAATCATTAGTTATTGTGTGTTGTACGCGCAACACTGTGAAATAGTCGAAGTAAAATAAGTGAGGGTCGCTGTCCATATAGTACATACTGTCCATTTAATACGTATTAATCGATTGGTTTCCTGAAAGACGGATCCTTGAAAAGTGATATTTGTCGGATAACCTTTATAAAATAAAAACATACATAGTACGTACAACGGGATGTACATTATATGTACCACGAAGAGTAATTTAACTTGAGCTTAGATTTTGTAAAATGACCTGGTAATTCCGCACAAACCCGGGTAAATGTTCCAAGAAAACGACTGTAATCCATTACACGAAACCCTTCTTGAATGTCTATTCAAGGTTGGAATTTGAAGAAAATCATTTACAGAGAAGAAGTCAAAATAAAAGTCAGAAGAAAAAAGTTATTTTTCTAACAAAAGTGTCAATAAATTTCAATGTACTGCAGTTTCCAGAAAAAAATATGATGTTTGACAATATTGTTAAATAGGATATTTTAACGATAACAAATGTTCACATTTCAATATATTCATAAAAGAGTTGAACGTTTATTGATTATTTTCTAATGAAAATTCTAAAATATTTAAATTGAAATAATTCGAAATATTTATTCACTTTTTTGGGTCATTAATGTAATATTATGTTTTCATCATTTACTATTCCACCAAAATTTTAGTATAATTTTTTTTTTCTGAAACCTAAGTGCTTAAATTTTTGGGAAAATACAACACCAAAACTCGTATAAAATAGTTATAATTTAATCTAAATCAAATATTTTTGTAGAATAGTGTATATAAATTATATTTAATATTAGTATATTCAATTATACTCTTATTTTGGGTTTTAAATATCATATTGGATTAATTTTTTGTTTATCGACGCTCACTATTTTGGTAAATCTACATTTAATCAAAATTTTTATTTTCTTTTAAAGTTAAAAATCGATAATCTTATTTTTATAATAATGCTTCTTAGAATGTGTATTTTTCAATATTTTTTTTTAAAATTTTTATGTAGTTTTATACGCTTTAACATTGTACCTTTAATTTTAATCACTAAAAAAAAACACTATACTGACAATTTGAAAACATAACAATTATATATCAATCTATACATTTACCTACATCAACAATTGATTCATAAGTATTTAAAGTTTTTATAATATGGACCAATCTCAGTCAATTCACTTAAACTTTAAAAACTTAGAAAATAAATATTGTTTTCATATTAAATTTTGTTGTTGCTTTTAGAAAAATGGTAGTACTAATATATTACCTAGATGTAAAAAGTAATAATATCATTTCAAACGTTAGAGCACATACTAAACAAATATGTTTAGTACATAAATGGTTCGTTATAATATGTTTAAAGCAGTTCAAGATACTTGTAATTTAGCTGATATACAAGAAAGTGTTCTCATAATCTATTCGGTTAGTAATCGTATAAGATTTTAGTAAAAAAAAGTTTCCTGAATTTTTTAAAACATTAATTTTTTTTTAACTGTTGGAGGAAAGAAAAAGTATAACTCCAAAAGACATTCATCAAGAATATGTATTACCTAAGTGTAAATGTGCATAAATAAAAATAAAAAACAGTCATATTTTTCGGATTTCTTCTTATTTTGACCATTATATTATTTACTAGTCGAAAATATTAAAGAATGTATATACATGGTTGTTTATGTATATACATGTTCGCAGAAGAAGAATAAGATAAAATGTACCTAAAAATGGTGAAACTTTCATCGTAAATTTTTTACTCAAAAGAATATAAGGTCCTCTATGTTTAAGAAACTTTATATCCTATAAAAAACCGCAAAGTGCGTATGCGTTTATATGTTTTCGAGTAAAACACTTAATACGTACTTATCTTTAATTTCGTCATATTTTTTTTATTTTCATATTATTCTTTAACTTGAAAATTTAATGACTTAAATTTAATAGTTATAATAAAAAAGAATTTCAAAATTAGCTAGAAATATGAAATGTATCAAAAAAAGTTTTAAATATAATACATATTTTTTTTATTTAATCCATTTCAATTATTTTTACAACCAACATAACAATTTTATCACACACTAGAATGCTCGAATATTGTATAAAAGTAATTTAAATTAACTATTTGTGAATTTGAATGAGTTCTTTTTTTTTTAATATTAAAGGCATTTATAAAGTAATTTATGAGTAGTTTTATTAAATGTTTAAATAACAAAAAAATTATCTTTTTAGTTTAATGGTTCGATTACAAGATTGAATTAATACGTTGGTGATGACGAAATATACCCACATTCAAGACCACCGATTACATAATATATATGTACTAATTGTATTAGTTTCTATATGGTAGAGAATATATATGTATATCATTCCAATTAGAATATGTGAACCATAAGGAAAAGAGCTATTATTTATTAATAATAGCTATACATTGACCTCACTTCGATAATGAAGGGTGTTGCTCTCAGAAATAAATTATCTAATAACAGTGATAATATCTATTTCTGGTTAGTTCTCAATGAAAACATTTTTCTGTTTCATTTTTGTGCCTAAAAGTTTATCGTATTCATAATAAATAAAATAATAAATAATAAAATATATAACACAGAGTTAAAAAAGCAATTATTTTATTACAAAATTAAAATTTTACGTGAGACAGGTGATACATTATTTTATTTTGTCTTGCATACAATGACTACATATTATAGATAAAATAATTCATTGCATAATAAAAGTTTAGATGAGTCGATATAAATATACAAACAAAAGATTTTAGCAAATTCTTAATATTGTCATTGTTTGCATTGTATGAATATTATGGTACATTGTATCAGTCAAACGAGTCGATAAACAACTGTTAAACGTACAGAGATCTAATTATAATAAAAAAAATGAATATATTTTTCGCAAAAACGCGAAGAAATATATTCTCTTGTCGGTTTAAAAACAAGTTTTGTACGCGTACACGTACAATATTTCAATTACAATCTAAGTATAAAAATGATATCCGTTTCACAGTGTTATGTACAAGATTTTACAATATCACAACAATCGGAAATTAGCTGTGACTAGCCGAAGACTGTATTGGCTTAATATTCACTACTCTCGTGGTGGTAGTCTTGTTGGTAATCTCCATGGTGTTCCTGGTGTTCATAGTGTTCGGGCTGGTAACTCTTGACCGGGTACGGCACGGGCACGGTGACTTTGACGGGCACTTTGACCGGGTACGGCACGTGCTTCTCCACGGGGTACGGGACGACCTGTTCGACGGGGTACGGGATCTTCTTCACCACGGGCACCGGGTAAGGGCGGTCGACCGGCACCTTGACGGGGTAGTGGACGGGCTTCTCGACCGGGTAAGGCACGACCTTCTCGACGGGCACGTGCACCGGGTACGGACGGTCGACCGGCACCTTGACGGGGTAGTGGACGGCCTTCTCGACCGGGTACGGTACTTTCTTCTCCACGTACACGGGGTACGGTTTGTCCACATGCACCGGGTACGGACGGTCTACGTGCACCTTGTACGGCACCGGCACCTCCTTGACCACGGGGTACGGCTGGGGCACGTGTACGTGTACGGGGTACGGTTTGGCGACGTGCACGGGGTACGGTTTTGGCACGTCAACGGCATACGGCCTGTCGACCGGCACGGCCACCTTGACGGGGTACGGGTACGGTTTGGCCACCTCGACGGGGTACGGCTGCGGCACGTTCTTCGTGATGGTCTTGGTGGGCACGTGATGGCCCTCGTACGCTTGTTCGTCGTGACCGGCATCGCTGGAGTATCCTTGGTACGCGCCGCCGTAGCTTCCGTATCCTGCGCCGTAGCTTCCGTATCCTTCGCCGTAGCTCAAGTGTCCCGCTCCGAGTTCTTCTTGTCCGTAGCTGCTGCTGCCCGCGTACTCGGAACCGCCGAAACCGTAGCCAGTGTCGAACAAGCTCCTCTTGTCTTGGGTCTTGTCGGTGGCCGAGGACGCGGTCTTGTCCTCCGTTTTCTTGGCTACGGTCTCCGCGGCCAGGCAGTACGTGCACAACGCGAACGCGCACGCCGAAAACAGTGTCGCTCTCATAGCGATCGGTGCGTATGGACGTCGGTGATGGTCGAGAACTGGCAGCGAACCGGCGAAACGAACGTGAATGGTGTCCGGTCGTCGGCGCCCGTCGCTTTTGTAGTCGACCGACGCTTCCACCTGAGCTCTCGGCTCCCACCCGGACGAGATAATGTAACACTGCTGTTACGTGCGCGCGTGTTTGTTTTAGGGCCAAAAGTTGTTTGCGTCTAGTTACATTACATTACGCGTCGTTAAAAAAAAACCGACCGTTCTGCCTATTCATTAACGAACCGCCGGGATCCGTTGTTTATGTCACGGATGTTGATGATCAATTTATTTTCCTTCGAACATCTTAACCGTCCGTAAAAAATAATTGTACCTGTTGGCCGTCGGAACGGACGAGCGTTACGTAAACGCGATAAACTTTTATAGTAAAACGGTGTAATTTATCTAATGGGGTAATACGATACATGTGTTCGACATGTGAACGGTACATGTGAATTATAATATGGAATAATAATTATTATGACGATTAGAAACCCTTGTTTTTAACAATGAACACCTATGAATCGAATGAGTCAACGAGCACTTTTAATTTGTTGTTTACCTACCGTGGAGCGCGTCCTCATCGATTAGAAACAAAACACAGCACACTACGTAGCGGAGCGTAATTTAATGTACAGAGTACGTGGCACCAGTGCCACCCAGCGATAATTGAATGCTACCCAGTGATGGGTGATCGTACCACTAACCAATAATTTCTCATAACGACCTTAGTAACAGGAGTTGATTTTCCCTGTACGTTCCTCTGCAGAAGAATACCACGTCTATGAACTACGAGGGTAGACAATTTTATTGAAGTGTCACGCAGTGAAAATTACTTAAAATGTGTTCTGGTACGTAGGTACAATAATTGTATACTGAGTACACAGTTTTTAATAAAAAAATATCGGACAACGAAATACATATGGGGGGTGTTCCGCGTACAAATGGCCAACGTGATATCTCTTGGGACAATAAAAATAGTGAAATCCTGGTTATTTTTATATGACTCATAGAAATAACTGCTTCAAACATTTGTTTGTAAATCTAGTTTTTATGTTTTGGTGGAACGTTTGAAAATTAAGCTTTTTAATTTATTATTTTCGGAAAACTTGTAGGTTACTGTTTTATAGATTATTCTTCTGACAATATTGATGTATCATTTTTTCGTTTTCAATAATCTCATATTTTTTTGTGTCATTTAACTATAATAGTTTACAAAACTATAGTGTTTTAATATTATTTTATTTCATTTTCCGACTGTTAAAAAATAGTATAATGGTATAAAACAAACTGAAATTAAAAAAAAGATCAAAAATTATAAGATTTAGGAAATAAAAAGTTAATATTTCAAAATGTTTATAAAATTACACTCTATTAAGTGTACGGAGTCTATAATATAATCCATAAATCTTAATTTTTTTTTTTTTTTTTGAATAATTAGATAAAAAGTTTTATTAATACATAAATATTCAATAAGAATATTATTAGTTGTAGTTCTTGTCTCTGTGAGTTATATAAAAAACAGAATTTGATAATCTTGATCATCACAGATTTCACAATACTCATATCTCGGCGGAGCACTTTAGTTATGTAGGTACTTATTTTTCATTTTTTTTCTATAACAAATTTAATATAAATAATTATTATTATATTATATAATTATAATATTCAAATTAAACGGGTTCCGAAGAAAGTGTGTACTATGTTTGCCCTCGCGGGTGTAAAACTCACAGATAACATGTCAACCGTTATATCCGGTAATGCAGTTTTCGTGCTTTTGTTTGATATTTATATTTTTTCATACGAATTCGTTTCATTCAAGTGATTATTTTATCGAATTTAATGCATTCATAGCATTTAACTTTTGTCCGTTTTGTATACTACTATCGACGATCCGGTCGATGTATCGCTGAATGAATTTATTTTATGCGTATATGAATGTAGAAAGGACAACTTAATATAGTGCACCATAACCGATTGCTCACACCGTTTCGCTTTGTTCACCACGGCCAATGTCATATAATATTATTATTTTAATTTTACATCTACGATAAATCGTCACCTAATAATGAATTATGAAATGGTTTTGTATATAATCGTTTTTTTGGAAATGTTATTTATTATTCTATCGCCTTAGCTTTTAGAATAATTACATCACACAGCGTATACATCGTACTGCTTAATTATTGAACGAGATTAACATCTGTAGTTCGTGAAATGATTACAATACTTTATTATAAAAATACTTTAGTTTTAAATTGGTATTCTGCATTAATACTAACTACTTTTTAGATGTGGAGTTGTACACCATTCAACATTTTCATAACACAATTTAATATTGTTTTAAAAAAAGACGGAGAGGAGTCGTCATTTATTCAATGATAATAATTGTTTTATTCCCAACGTGAAATAATTTTTTAAACAACTGGAATTCCACTTACGGTTTTATAATAATATCATGTTCCTAAATATGTGTTTCTTAAAAGCAGTTTAATATTTATTTTGTTGTTTGTATAAGTGAACTCTTTTCGACTTTTTGAAACTATTTTAATACAACGGAATGAGGCAAATTTAATATAATTTTTTTAGTAAAAAAAAAAAAATAATTTAATTATATTATGTCTTTCTGGTACATCATTGGGTTATATTTTTAAGTTTACGTTAGAAAGTGTTCAAATTGGTTTGAAATAATTTGATACAAAGTACCTCATTAAAAAGTAAATCATCTCACGAGGAACTTATGTACTAATTTAATTCTAATTAATTATTTGTTTCGTAGAAGTGTTTAAAACTCTGCAACGTTAAAATTAACAACTTTAATTATAATATAGGTAAGCTGGTTATTGTACGGAATAAATTAAACAACAAACAACATTTGAGTTTACGGTGGAGTAAACAATTTGAATTCGGTTATGTGCATAAGATACCTATAACATATTACACAAAAGTTTTTGAATTTTAGGCATTGATAATAACGTTCGGAAAATCTTCTAGACTCTGGTTTACAGTAATATGTTACTATAAGGCATTTTTTTTTCTCTTCAACTTTAAAAGACGCAATAGTTTACGATTATGGATATTCGAAATGTATTAAATATGAATAAAAAGATTTGTTCAGAATTATCATTTTATTTCAAAATTATAATTTTATATAAAAATATATATGACATAACAATCAACGCATGAGCGTAATTTGGTTGTGTTCGGGGAGAGATAAATTATTTTTGCAAATCTTACCCTTTACCTCTCCCCCCCAAATATTAGTTTTTAGTATACATAATAGACTCATGTATAATTATCGAAAAAACCTATATAATTTGATCTCAAATTATATTCGAATTCATCAGCAATAATTTCATTTTGAGAAAAATAACGAAAATCAAACTTTATAACTTAGTGTCGACCGATCAACTGTCAATATTAAATAATCTTTTATCCAATATATACAACAAATAAAATGGTGTTTTCTGTTGGCTCATAGTTTGGGTGATCATATATTTTCTGAAAAATTAGACGTTATAGAATTCGAATAATTTGTGTTATCATACTTTAATATAATTAGTTTTTCGTAATAAGTTTCCAACTTCTGTTTTACGACCAAGCTGAATGGAATTGATTAATAATTAAAAAAAAAAAAAATACGGGAAAAAAACAATACACATCTTAATGGTTATTATGTATGTATTTCATAAATATTCTTATAATTGTTGATTATTATTTAATAAATATGTTGATGAAACTACAATATTTTTTATAAATATTTTGGTATTTATTCGGATAGTACTCAAACAAATAATGTGAGTTCGTGACAAAACCAGTAAATTACATACCATCTACCTAAACTATAAGCTAAAAGACGGTCGCAGAAAGACCGTGGGAAACATAAATATAATTTCAATTTAAGCTCCGGTGGTCAAAGTTGTCTGCACAGATTAAAGCGTGGAACAAAAGGGTCCGCTGAAATACAAGCAAAACTTTTCAGTAGTACCTAATGGTTAATACTGCGTCTGTTACAATGTGTATACTAAAATAGGTCATTCTTTAATTTCTGGAAGACAATAATTATTTTCTGTAATATACAACAGAAAATATTCGAAACGGTATTCGTCCGAACACTCCAGTCGGAATATTCACTGGTGTTGCGCAATTTTCGCACGGAAAACAATATACACTGATAAATACAGAAAATGACCTATTTTGTGTACCGTGTGAGTCGAATGTGAACATACTCAACTTCTGCTGCTGACGGTGCAGTGATAAATTCGCAGAGCCATTTCAGAAACGTCACTTGAGGCGAAAAAAATATACATAATTATTCGACTAAAAAATTGGACGTTACGGTCAAATGGGATCCAACAAGGGACACCACTTAAAATTAAAAATAATACATCGAGCAGTAACGATATATTTTAGTTCAGTAATCAAAACACTAGATTGTGGCAAATAAAATATTTTTTATTTTGATTGTTGTATTACTTATGTATACAATACAAATGTAGGTACATATTAATACGATGATACATAAGTTCAGTGAACATAGTTTATTTACTTAAAACGTCAATTATAAACATAACACACGAACTAACATGATATCATGTAGGTTCAGAAATGTGTTTACGAAATATTCTACTGTTATTATTAATCATTATATACAATAAAATATTATAACGGCCGTGGCAAACGTCAAAAAATCGAGATCTTTATACATATGTATATAATTTTTTTTAAAGAAATTCCGCGACGCGAGAATATATTTCGATTCAAGTTTGATTCACGAAGTAAAGTTTAAGGTTTAAGAACATTGTAAGTAAAAAACAAAAATATTTATATCGTAATACATATGTGTGACCGGCAACTTGAAAAGGCGAGCGTGACTAGATGATGAAAATGCTTGGGTTAGTACGAGCTGCTACCGTGTTGGTAATCCTGATGGTAGTCCGCGCTGTAGTCCTGGTGTTCGTAGTGTTCGGGCTGGTAACTCTTGACCGGATACGGCACGGGCACGGTGACTTTGACGGGCACCTTGACCGGGTACGGCACGTGCTTCTCCACGGGGTACGGGACGACCTGTTCGACCGGGTACGGGATCTTCTTCACCACGGGCACCGGGTACGGGCGGTCGACCGGCACCTTGACCGGGTAGTGGACGGGCTTCTCGACCGGGTACGGGACGATCTTCTCGACGGGCACGTGCACCGGGTACGGACGGTCGACCGGCACCTTGACGGGCACGGGCACCTGCTTCTCGACCGGGTACGGCACCTTCTTCTCCACGTACACGGGGTACGGTTTGTCCACGTGCACCGGGTACGGGCGGTCTACGTGCACCTTGTACGGTACCGCCACCTCCTTGACCACGGGGTACGGCTGGGGCACGTGCACGTGCACGGGGTACGGTTTGGCGACGTGCACGGGGTACGGTTTTGGCACGTCCACGGCGTACGGCCTGTCGACGGGCACGGGCACCTTGACCGGGTACGGGTACGGTTTGGCCACCTCGACGGGGTACGGCTGCGGCACGTTCTTCGTGATGGTCTTGGTGGGCACGTGATGGTCCTCGTACCCGTAGCTCTGGTGGCCGAAGTCTCCGTAGCTGCTCAGCTCGGAACCGCTGCCGTACCCGTAGTCCGTGTCGAACAGGCTCCTCTTGCCCTGCGCCTTGTCGGCCGTCGCGGTCTTGTCGTCCGACTTCTTGGCCTCCGGCTCGACGGCCGCGCAGTACACGATCAGCGCGAACGCGCACGCCGAGTACAGTGTTGCTTTCATCGCGAGATTTCGTGCGTGTACGTGTTGGCGAAACGGGAAACTCGCAGTGGACGGAACGTGAATGTTGCCGGACCGTCGGCGCTCCGCTCTTTTGTACTCGGTCGCTCTCGGCCACGCGCTCCCAGAGTTTTCGCTCCCACCCCGTCACACTCGTAACCGTGTTGCTGCACGATCGTTATTACCGTTTCGTTTCCTTTTTCTTTCCATCTTTATGGACCGTGGTAATGGCCAAAAGTTTTAGCGTCCAGTCCCGTTACCGTTCGTCGGACGCATTTGCATTTGCACTCCGCTCGGTGTCCGATATTTCGTATCGTTCACTCGAAATATTGTTTTAACGACACGTTTTTCGACTGTACACCGTTTCGCAATCACCTAGTGCTCGTGTTTCGATTTTCACCTTGTAATCCAAATCCGTTCCAATTGTTTTGAACTATTTACGTCTCCGTTTTACCGTCGTAGACTGTTATTATATTGTCTTTAGTACGTTCGCAGTCGGATTTCTTGTGATCGCAGCATTGAATTATTGTATTTCGTGTCAGACGTCACGACGCCCGCTGGACGCGTGTAATACGAGCACGTGGTACAATGTTATAACATATAAACGCAACAATACGTTACGAATTCGTGGTTTTGGAAACGCACACTTTTGACCGTTCGGGATTTCACGATCGGCGAAAAATATACCGAAATCCGCACGCGCTGCTTCGCCCTTAGACGGACGATTTTCATACAACGATTTTAAACAACTGCGTAACGAGTGTTGTGATAACGGTTGCACGAAAATTCGATACCGTCGAAGGCTAAAGTAATCATTTTGGGCATATAATTCCGATGTTACAAAATTCGTTACGATTTTTTTTTTTTTTTAATTAGTCGGATATAATAATATGTAGGTGTACACGCGTGAGGCGATGCACAGATTTGGGTCAAACGACGTAACTAAAATAATGTATAGTGGCTACGACGGAGTAGTGTGAAAGTATTGTTATAAATGAGTTGATTATTTAATTGTATGGAATTCATTTTCATATTATTATTATTATTTTATATCATAACCGTTCATTGTGTACACGTATAAAAGTATATACTCGCCGCGCGTGTGTTGCAGTGTACGTTCGGTATGACTATGTACACGTTATGATCAATTGTTCAACATACGTATACACTATATCGCATCGTATTTTACGCACATGTCATCCGTTTGCCGCGGTCTTATGCAGGCAAAATCGCCATCTCTCCAACCTCTAAAAGATTCCTAGACATTTCAAAATTACTATAGTAATGGATTTAATTTTAATTGATGAATAGAAAAATTGTTCTGTGTTATACTGCTTGTTACATAAATTTGCCTTTTTAAACGACCCACCAATATATACCAATATAAACGATTTTAAAATAATTAAATCAAAACATCCTAAAACTGCGATGTGCTTGTGAGTTACAATAAATACATTTGACGTTATTGGATGGCTGCACGTGTAAGCTAAAAGTAGCCCAAAAAGTTCTCTTACGGCTACGCGATAGGATCTAAGCAATATTGATCCATTCCAAAGTTACAGTTTCGATGTTTTCACGCCAAATCATGTTAAAAAGAGGATAATAATGTTCTAAGCCGTGGGAAACATGTATTATCACGGTATTAGCTTGTAGCACCTTCAAACTTTATTAAAAAAAAAAAAAAAAAACCTATTTAGGTCATTGCGGGATAAAAAGTACTGTGGGATTTCCTGGGTTAGTAAGTCTGGGTTCAAAGACGAAATAACGTCATCATTTGAGATTTTCACATTTTAAAAATTAATAAATACCGGCTCTTATGTCACGCACACAGAAATCACAAATCAAATAATAACGTACCATACCCAACGGGTATACCGTTGTAATCTTCAATATATGTACCCTTAAAGAAGACCACTTTGGTCAAATAATCATCCCACTATAATCTCCAACACAACACGTTCATCGGACCCTTCAAGGACCTCATCGATGCAAGTCATGGCCATGTGAGCACCAAATGCGAACCACCTCAATTTTTACGATTTAAGCAAAGAAGTTCTGTTGTCAGTGTGTGCACACGGACTAAACCGATTTAATTACTCAAATGGAACGCAACTAAAACAGCTAAACACAAATTCTGTGCGAGTGTTAAAAAAATGTTCAGCATCAGTTTATCAAATCCTGTGTCTGTTTCACTTCAACCTCATTCTATGTTTTAAATAATCATTAGTGTTCGGCTCATCAAAACTTAAACCCTTATGACGAACCAAGTAAATGGTATTTTATTTAGGTAGATATGTAGATTAGACTGTTCACCACATTCATCTACTTTTGTACCTTTGAAACTCCGAATGCTCTCCGTTAAAAGGAGTTATCTTTCTAAACCCGCTATCACACCCCAACTACTTTACCCCGATCCCCTACTTTTTTTCTTTTGAATTATTACAAAGAATTGTTTGAAAACCTATTCACGGCAGACAAGGCTAAAGATTATTTATGGGGAGGGAGTTTGATATGATGACTCATAATTATTTTTATTAACCTTTTTATTTACCAGTTGGGATTCTAGCAACGGGGGGATCGAGATCTCTCCTTACCTACGCCATCTCACATTAACATCGTTTTCAACATCGCTTTGCCGTTGAAGAAAATCCGTTAACAAATTTCTCGATAACAAATCGAACGGTGTGTGTTACAGTAAAGATAGTTATATAACATTTATGAAGATTTACCAAATCTTGGAAAACAACTTTTGTTCGCCTTGAATGCAATTTTAACCCACTGTGCACGCCACTGACAATATACGTTTTGTTCGCAATGATAATAAAATCGAAAACCGGATTTCGTTGCATACACTAGTGCATGGCCTTCTCGAAGAAGGTAATAATTTATCTCAAAAAATAATAGATAGCTTATGGTAAACGTTCCGGTCCGTGTACTTTAACGTAATGCCGTTCGTTCCGTTTAACCATCATCACGTTGTTACGATTTTCGAATAGGACTTTTTTTTTTACTTTCGGTCTCCACGCGGATGCATTATTCGTGCATTCAGTTGAACTGGTTATTGAAATTCGAGCAGAACCCAATGTCAACGCAATGTCGGCGGACCGTCACCGGCGATCCGTCGGTTAATTATTCCGCCACGATTTCCGCGGGGCACCTGCGGTAAACATTCTCGTACGTTCAAGTACGTTGGACCGGTGCTCAGTAATTGGGGGAAAAAAATATACCGATCCGTTCGGACCCGTCGTCAAACGTTTCGCGTTATAGTCGTTCGCTGCGGTGATCCTCGGTACCAGTGGGCGGCGCGAAGTTTATTTTCCAACGAAGCATACACGTGTCGAGTACCCACCCCGAACCACAAGTCAAAAGGGCTTTTAGGCACATAAATATTAAAATTAACGGGTACAAACAAAATATCGTACAGTAATATTTTATGTAAAACGTGCGAATTATGTATCAAACTTTTTTTGTCCCACAAAATCATATAATAATATAATATAATAATCACCCCATTTTAGTCGAGAAACAGCTACTTCAATGAAACCCGTCTTCACGTCGTAACGTTTTTTGACGCCGTCATTTCCCCCCGGACCACGGGAATTTGGCCCCGTTGGATATCCGTTCGCACCGCCAACACCTGCTGGTACATGCGACACCGTGTCTTGCAGTACCGACCCTTTTGCTCAACTTTGCTCCCCCTCGTAAGCGGTTATTGAAGTGAGCACTCCCCCCAATGGGCGGGTTTCCGGTTTTACGGTTCGGGTCCGCGTAAAATCGCACACCTCTGGCGCACGGAAGACGCACAATAATATGCTCGGACAATCATCGCGATCGTTTGGAAATCAACCGCGTTCGGCAATAAATATTGAACGTTTGAAGTATTGCTGCTGAGATCTAATGCATTACGTTACAGTCATTTTCGTCTGCAAAAACGTAATCTTGGGATGTTTTTGTGTTAGTTTTTTTTTTTTTAAATTTTAATTATTTACTTTTAAAGCATTTATTGTCGATACGTTTTAATCGTAAAATGTATAAATATAATCAATTCTCTGGATAAATTTAAATCGAAGACAAAAATAATACAAATCGATTGATATGAATTTTTATTTTTATGTTTGTTTTGCGCTAAAAATACGTTGATCAGCGTAATTTTACATTCGAAATGATTAATAACTTGTTTTTTACATTTTATATTTGATGATTTTCAATTAGTTGAAGAATTCGTACATTTCTGGCCATCAAAGTAATAATACTTACTGTATATCAAACAAGTTTCGTTGTTATTATATGTATGCATTATACAAAAACGTTCGGTCCGCGAATAAAATCCAGAGATTAGCTAAAAATTACATTTACCTACTTGGTCGACCGTCATCCTCATCAAAAATGTATATCTCGCGCTACGTGCACGTAAGATACATTTAATCAAAATGGAAATTTTAGATTATGTTTTAAACATTAATCGTTTATAATATGATAATATTTTTGTGCTTGGGATCATAAAAAAAAAAGTAAAAAAAAAACAACTCTAAATGCAAACTGTTTTACAACTTTTTTTTCACCATCACATAATAATTATATATGATCAACTCTATGATTATAATATTATTATTTAATGTAAAACACTGTTCGTGGTGTTTTACTGTGAAAATAAAACGAAAAGTGTATCGGTTGTACAATGTTTGTATAAACGTCTGATATGAATTGTTGATACCGCTATTTAATATTTTTTTATCGTTTAACTATGTTACTTTACATTATTCTATAGTTCACCATCATATATTTTATGTATTTACATAATATGGTGTTCAAAATAATAACGCATATACGTTGAAATAATAACGTATACAATGATTTAAAATGTAAACGAACGCTATTATTGCCGTTACTATTATGGAAAAACCGACAATTCGTTCAGTAAATGTATTAGTTATATTATTATTATTATTATTTATATGTATAAATAATATTCCTTTATTTCTTGATATGTTAACAATTAGGAATCGAATAGATTATAGGACCAGTTTGTTAACGATTTAGACATATTATCACGTAGACCGTACACGAAGATTGCGTGTACAAGCGTACACCGAAGGGTGTTGTCCTTGTCACGAGCTATAAAAAACGACTGTCCATATTCGTTTTCATTATCGAAAGAAAAAAAACTACTAGTTTTCACTTTTATAAACTTTTTTTTTTTTTATATAGACGACACATAACAATGAGGTAAACGTGATCTCATAGATCGTGGTGAAATAAAAAATAAATAAATAAATGTACGACTAAAAAACTCATAGTAAAATATGTTTGATATTTATTTCGACTATATATAATATGTAGAATATTAAAATATAAACATACGTTATTAATATATACTTAAACAAAATGGTAGAAAAAAAGTTTTCAAGGAATCATATATTCAGACGATATTATGATTATACATTTTTCGTTGCGATTTGCTACTGTTGCACATATATACATGTTATCGTATATTTGTAAACATAGAGATACGCGTTTTACATAGAAAAAAAAAAAATTAAAAAAATTGAGCTTGAAAATGCAATAATACGTACAGAGATATGGTCCGATCGCATAATATAATACAATATTGCACTACTGGTCGTCGCGCACGAAGTATTATAATATCGGAGTCGTAATAATAACGTTCAATCGGATCAACGGTTTGAAAAGACTTGTCTTTTCGAGGCAACGTCGAACACACGTAGAACGGAAAGCTATTATCATCCAGTTTTTTTTTTTTTTTTTTTTTTTGATTAAACATAGTTTAAAACGAACTACTGATTTACGTGTAAAATAGTTTTTGAGTGATTCGCGTTTGCGTTTTGCACGCCGAGCGTGGAAAAAGATTATCGGAATCGTAACGTTTTACTGGTATGCACTTTGGACGCGCGGGGGTTGGTGACTAGCTGAGGGCGGCGGCGGTCGTGGTCGTGTTTAGTAGCCGCCGGATCCGTGATGGTAGTCGTGGTGTTCGTAGTGGTCGGGCTTGTACGCCTTGACCGGGTACGGCACGGCGACGGGCACCTTGTACGGCACTTTGACGGGGTACGGCACGTGTTTTTCGACGGGGTACGGTACCGGCCTCTCGACCGGGTACAGCACTTGCTTCTCGACCGGCACGGGGTACGGGCGGTCGACCGGCACCTTGACCGGGTAGTGGACGGGCTTCTCGACCGGGTACGGGACGATCTTCTCGACGGGCACGTGCACCGGGTACGGACGGTCGACCGGAACCTTGACGGGCACGGGCACCTGCTTCTCCACCGGGTACGGCACTTGCTTCTCCACGTACACGGGGTACGGTTTTTCCACGTGCACCGGGTACGGGCGGTCTACGTGCACCTTGTACGGAACCGGCACCTCCTTGACCACGGGGTACGGATGGGGCACGGGCACGGACACGGGGTACGGTTTGGCTACGTGCACGGGGTACGGCTGCGGCACGTCCACGGCGTACGGCCTGTCGACGGGCACGGCCACCTTGACGGGGTACGGGTACGGTTTGGCCACCTCGACGGGGTACGGCAGGCCCACGGTCTTGGTGATGGTCTTGGTGGGCACTTGGTAGTGGTGGTACGCGGCCGCGGACAGGTGGCCGACGGAGCCGCCGTACGCGTAGCCGCCGTCGTAACCGTAGCCGGACGGCAGGCCGCCGGAGCCGTAACCGTAGTCGTACAGGCCGCCGGAACCGTAACCGTAGCCGGTGTCGAACAGGCTCCTCTTGCCCTGCGCCTTCTTGTCCTCGGCCTTCTTGGCCGCGGGCTCGGCGGCCAGGCAGTGCGCGCATAACGCGAACGCGCACACGGCGAACAGTGTCGACTTCATGGTGCTTCTGGTGGTGGCGGCGGTGGTGTTATGTCGGTGGTGATCTGCGGGCAGCTGACCGAACGTTAATGGTGTCCGGTGTCCGACGACTCGCCGTTTTGTAGCGAACCGGCGCCGCCGCGCGAACCGGGTTCTCGATCCCCTCCGTTCGGCCACCGTGATACTTAGCGCGTCCCCGGAGACCTACTTTCTACGCCCACTCGGCCGACGGTCGGTCCGGTGCCTTGTTGTTTCTATAATCTTCCCATACCGATCGAGATTTACCTATTTACCGTATTATTTAACGCGCGCGCGCCAAGGTCGACGGCCATTAAACGCAATCGCCATCGCGTCACGTACCGATCGTCGTTTTCGCTTTTTTTCGTCGGCCGCGCGCAGGATCACGGTTTCGCACCACTGCGCCGCCGCGCCCCCGGATCTTCGATGATCGGCGCGGGGGGGGGGGGGGATTTTTTTTGAAAAGCGCACGGGGCCGGAGCGAAAACCGAAAACAAACCGTTTTCTCTCGAATCAGAACTCAGTTGATCGTTGTCGACGTCGAGAATCAACCGACAGTTAGATCTCGTTCGCTTCGCCGCGCACGTCGATTTACGTAGAAACGTGAAGGACCCGATTGTGGCGCAATCGAATTCCGTACATTAACGTGACCCTGCGCGAGGCGATGCTTTTCTTACGCGGTGCACCGGCCGATCACGCGATCGTATTGTTTATTCTCGTCGTCGTTGCGTGTACGCGTGCCGGGATCGCCCAGCGAACGGGACGATATGACGAAACGACGAGGTGTCGCGTGCGCGATCGAAACCGATAAACATTCCGTTATTTTTTTTTATTTCCCCTCCCCCTCCCCGTTATATTATTATTGTTATTCGATGTCTATCGCCGGCTACAGGACTGAAGAGACGCGTTGATGGTTTGTTTGAAAAAAAAAAACAAATGTCCAAACCCTAAGCGAGTGTGTCGCGCATGAAAACAATGCACTTTAACGATGCATTGTAAGCCCATCGTCTCTATTTGATGCACATTCAGCTCGATCTCACTGGGTCCGAATCGCGTCTAGTCGAGTTTTGAGCGCGGTGGACGTCTTCGGTTTTCGAACGCGAGCTGAGACCTCGTCTACCGCATCGCAGAGTGCACCACGTACGGACGAGCGTGTCCGACAATCGCGACAACAACTAGATCAACAAAAATGTTTAAAATAACGCCTAGTTCTGATTTTGAAACCGATTGCTTTCGTCGCGTTGTCAGTATACATAGTCGTATTTCACCATGAACGCTGCACCTGGCCGACGAGAGCACAGTTTTGCTATCGGTATACGAGATCGTGGTCACCGCGCGACAACGTTTAACCGTAATGTCTAACCGCATTTGCATACGTCCCGGTTTGCGTCGTACGGCTCGTCGGTCTATACACGGAACGTGTAAAAACTACATGGATATCGTGCACGGCGATCGGAGAAAAACTTTCGCGCACCTCAATTCACCGCTGTCGGGATCGCGACAGAAAACGTCCTTTCCAGCTCTTCAGACATGATACGAACACGTTTTGGACGCAAACCTCGCAGGAGGCTGGTGAACGTTTCCCGTGAGGCGTACATTTCAGAAATTTTATCCCGCAAAAGATGTTTGATTCGAAGTGCAGAATCCGAGCGCTCCAAAATACTCGTGACTCCGTATACCTAACCGGGTCCGGAACTAGACGGGCGTGGACGCGATCACAATAATGAAGCGAGAAGCAGGGACGAGAAAGTCGCGTCGTACTGCGGTATCATCACGGGGTCGTCGTAATTCGTTTTTCTGTTAGAATAATTCACTCGCTGATTGACGTCCACCCGACACAGCTTCTCGTCGACGACAAGTTTGCCGTCCAACAACGATCATTCGATTATCGCGCTATCCATTTTTCCCCCGTTTTTCCACGCCCTGACCCTGGGACGATCGCATAGGATTTCGAATTCCGACCGCGCTCTCGGGGGTCCAGTCCCTTTTGGTCGTCGTTGTCGTCGTCGTCATTACCGTGCGAGGTCAAATCCAATCGGACGCATGACTAATACCTGTTTGATAACTGGGCACGTGACGAGTGACGGTCGCCCGTCCGCTCGGAAAACGCGAGCGGAGGGCGAGTTTTTCGGGGGAAAATCTCTCGCGTCGACCCATGAATAATTCACGAAAAAGCCCCTCATCGCCGAGTGCCGTGCGGAGACGAGCGTTGCTCATTAATGTAATAATGCATTCACACGCCATTTACGTGTATATATATATATATATATATATATATATATATATATACGTATAGATTATATGATACGCTCGTCGTGTGTTATTGCATTACGCCGCTGACCGTTGGTCCGCGAGACTGCTGCGCGAACGGTCTGCAGTCTGTTAGCCGTGAACGGAGTCGGTAAGAAAAACACCCCATCGCCGTCGACGACATTCGCGGCGGAATAACGTTTGTATATATATATAAAAAAAAAAAAAACCATTCGGGGGTTCCTTTCAACCTTTCGTCGCGATGAGTAAGCGATCGTCTAACTCTCGTGATATACGACAGATTGACGAATGGAAATCGAGTAAACGCTATCAGTCACTTAACCATAAAAAAATGACGGATTATTATAGTAATATACTTCGAAAATGTTAAACGCTCGCGAGACTAAAGGCGCGATAAGCTCTTCTCATAAACACGTAAATCCGGTCGGATCGAAACGCATTGGCATGCGGTTGATATTATTAATTCTACAACATTGGATACTATATGGATACGTTTACCGAAAACGACTTCGTGCAGACGCTGAATAATGGCTATTGATTTTTATTAGTTTTCGGGTTTTTTCTTTTTTTTTTTTTTAATTTTGTTTTGAAACGTTATCGAATGAAATAAAAAACCGCGGAAAACGCAAAACAGGACGGTTCGATTTTACACCGCGGGCATCCGGAGCACAGTCGTTCTGCCATCGTCTACGAGCTTCGTGTTCGGACTGTTGAGTTCGCAATAATAAATAAATGCATTTATGCATCGGTTGTCGAAGAGAATGCGAACCCGCACGCGCACGTTTGGCCACGATAATTGTTTTACGATTAACGTTACGTAACGAGGAGTCGGTGTTAACGTTAATCGCCACCGACGAGTTGTTTATCTCGCCCGAGTGCTTTTCTCGCGTCATTTTCATTATTATTATTATTATTATTATTATATCTGAATGATCTAATATTGTGTTGTATAGATTTTATTTATATTTTCGTCCAACCACGTCGTTATGGCTGCATTTGTTCACGTGACAAAAATATTTTGCCGGATCGTATTACGTGCTAGTATTATGCTATCAGCTCGAAAGTTTTCGTTTTTTCTTTCTTTTTTTTTTGCCTCAGAGCCCTTGTTTGGTGTTATAAAATATCATACACGTGTATCATATGACTTCGTAGTTACACGTCTTGGTCCCGCACACATTTGGCCTAGAATCCGAGAAGCGAAGAGTTCGCAGACGGGTTTACTTTTTATTTTTTTTTTTTTATAATTTTTTACGATGCTCTATATACTCGTAATATGTATTATTGACTTGAACATATCGACTGGACGACGCAGTATAGGTTTTGTAATTTCACTTACCGTTTCGTTTTACGACCATTCCCTGTACGATATCGTTGAGCACAAGCGATTAATATAAATACTACTATATTACCTATATTACCGTAAACCTAAAATTATTAAATCATAAATGAGGTGTTTAAGGTTAGATTGAGTTATGCATTTTAACATACGCTCAAGGACATGCCCTTAAAGTATTCGTTATTGTTATTTAATCATCTTCAGTAATTTGGATTACTGGACACCATTATGCGTTTCAGTCCTCGGTATTCACGTATAAAATATTATATTAATATTATAACCGAACCGAGTAAACGCATTCCGTACGGTCTCGTAAAATTTGAACTAATAAATGTATCCCCCTCTTCGGATTCGGCGAGGCTTATAATATATTCGTATTCGTACATAAATAAAATATTTTTACCTTGTAAGTGTGATATACATTTTTCCTGTCGCACTGGTTGCATAAAAACCGGATAGTATGGTAAATGATTAAAAAAATGATTTAGTGATGATCAAAAGAGAAATACGACGGGTAGCTTAACCTTACGCAGATGGATAACGTGAAAAGATACCGACTCAGAACAAGTGCGGTTATACCTATATACGTAGACCGACATAAAAAAAAAATATTTCATCTTTTTCTCGATTCCCTTTTGATCTAGAGAAGACGTACCCGTAAGAGGGTCATCTACCTCGTTTAATAGTTTTTTCTTCCCAGACGATATTGCCGAAATGTAAATTTTAAATTCGCTCCACATAATAATGAATTGTAATCTTTGCGTTCGAACTGGACGTTGAAAAAATGGAGATAAGGTATATACGTACAGCAGTCGTTTGATCGCCGAATTCGATACCCTTATATTGGTGTTGCGCCCAAAACGATGCCCGGAGCACTATTTTGATACGACACGGTAATATTAGTTAAGAAGTATAACACGTTTTCGTAATTACGGCTCCGTGAAACATGACAATATAATTATAATAATAATCCTTGTAATCTGGTTGTATGTTGAGATCGATTGCGAAACCCAACAAACGAAATGCGAACATGAGACTTGATATGCACGATGATATTATTTGCGACGTTCCGAACGAGGATATATGTGTCCGATGTGTCCGACAAGATCGTTTACACGTTTAAATGATAACCAGATAGACGGAGCTATGGTGAAAAAATGCGTTTAGATATGGTTCATATAGGTGTGCACGTACAAGCTTGATTTGTAGTTTTTTTAATTTTACAATAAGCTTTATGCCGTGTAAAAGACAAACGAAAACCGTGTAGTTACTCGATTAAAATATAATTAGGTGTAACTCGCAATTGGTAACATTAATTGTTTGAAAACACAAAAATATATTTTCCATGTTCTTATATTTGCCTTTCGGGTACTGGTGTTGTCTTACAAAAATATATTTGTCAAGTTCTTGTTCGCCTTTCGGGTATTAGTGTTGTCCAACAAATGGTCGTATCGGTATTAAGATTTTAATGTTTCCACAATTTTTCCAAACGTACTAAATACAGTGCGAACGGTCGGAACACTCGGATCGATTTCCGTGCACATGGCAACCGAAATATTTATGTATATTAATCGATTTTAATATGATAATATTTCAAATCGTTTTCGGACGCATTATGACTATAACCTCGAGTGGAGGAAATGGTAAAAATATCAAGTTTGTTGTTACAATATCATCATAAATTTGCCGACAAAGTTTCTGTAAACTGATAATAATAACAACGTTTTAAAGCGTATGAAAGTCGCTGTCCTAGAGCGTAATATACACTTATAACGATCTATAACATACGATGCCGGAAGTTTTCGAAAGTGTATCGGTCCTACAGTACAGTACAACTCGACGCGTATGTTATAATAGAAGGACTGTAACGATTTTTCCGTTTCCGTCTACAGTTTATGTTATAGATATTATGTCTCTGCGCGCCATTGAATCGCGATAAACTTAAATTATTAACTCTTCCGTCAACCCTATATCATAGTATCGTCACAAATTCGAAGCAAGCATACAGTTATATATGTGCTAAAATCGGTGCTACTTCAACGAAACGGAAAATACGTTCTTCGACAGCGGACAAATGTAACGAGCGTATATTTTATAATTGTGTACAATACGAGTATATAAAATAAATATAAATATAAATATATATATATATATATATCCGTTTTCGCCCATTGAACGTTGAAGTCGAGAAGAAAATTAGAAAAAAAAAACATTAGAAACATAAATATCGTAGTTGCGTGAAATGTTGTGCCTATGAGAAAACGTTTTACGTGTGTGAAGTTTATACGCGATCTGATGCGCGACTGTCCTTTCACCCCCAAAATATGCAACGCACATGGTGAATTTGATATTCATTCTCATTGCCGTTGCGCGTCCATTACAAACGACAAGTGAACCGAAAATATGTAATCGGCTTAACGACTCGGTATACAGCAGCAGAGAGCATGGCGAAAAGAAAATAATAATAATAATACAAAAGACGAATCAAGAAAATGCAGTAAAAATATATATATAATAAATAAATAACACGGGAGGATATAGTACACCACTCTCGTAAAAAGAATAAGGGCAATCCTAAATTTATATACGGAGGGGTGCGACCACTTTTTGACGCGATGTCAACTTCCGCTGCGCGTTCACTAGCTGTTATTATATTAAAACATGGATGCACAGCCCTTCTCCAGATATTGCATTTTACTACTGGGTGGAATACCCATTGGCGATGTACTTCTTAAACGTCAAAAGGTCACGTTGTGACATAAACAAGTTATAGTAATAATAATAATGTATTAGATGTATAATATTTAATCGTTAATTATAATATTAGTTTTTCTATTAAAAAAAAAAAAATAAAGAAAATAAAAATAAACTCTGTTTGTTTAATGTTATATTAATGCATATGGAAATCAATTTTTAATTGTTTCATATCATATAATACGCATCTAACTGGTATAGGTAAATGCATTGTTTTGTACTGTTGATATTAACTAATTAGGATAAAAATAATAATTAATAATATATTCTGTTCGATCGTATTGTACGATTAAAATCATAATTAAAAGTAAACAAGTAGCCATCTGATTAAAGATGATAGAAAATAAAAAAATGTTTACCTCCATGATTGATTTGACGATCGTACCTCGTACTAAAAAACAATTTCACCGACAGAATAATTGATATTTTATGTATTTATTTTTTTTTTTTATCTATCGAGAAAAGGAAATATTCACCATTTCCTTCAGGCTGAATTGCTCCAAATGAAAACTGTCCTATACAAAAGTAAAGCAGGAAAGAATTACATAATTCGTGTTTGACTGATAATATGGTTTTAAATGCAATCGACGATAAAAACAATGAAGAGTTTATTCGTAGCTGACATAGTAGCGTGATGCTGAAACATGTCTAGGCGCTTTTGGTGCACCGGTTTAAATAGGATTTTGATTTTAAGATAATTGTTTTTCTTTTTTATCATATAGACAAATAAATTTGAAAACTCAAACGGCCAACGGGATTGTTAAGATCTTATAGATTTCCATTCCGGCCATCTTCAGATTATATATAATACATTGCGAGTGTACAATGGACGCGTAATAAATGAACCTGATCGAAGAACACATTTAATAAACCGAAAGGCAACGAAACGATAAATATTAAGGGACGTATCTTAATGTTCGGTTGATTTGTTCGTTTATTTTAATTTTTTTTTTTTTTTTTTATCTTACGCAACCTAAAAGCCAAAACCTATTGTTGTAAATGTTTAAGAATTACACTGCCGGTCGACTTTTTAACTCTCCGATGTCCGTCGTGATGGTCATACGATATGGAAATATGTCGTACGCGCGGAGCAGTGTTACGTGATCTACGGCTGCATGCCGCGCGAAAGGAGAACATGAAAAATAAGACACGACTTCAATATCGTAATAAACCGATGTATGTTGAAAAGGGTTGGGTTAACGGTCGATCGCAGGACGACGGTCGCGCGCGCGCGTGTTTGCATGTGCGTGTGCATCGCGTATTATTTTAACGTACCGCAACATCCCGCGCGAAGCGAGGACAACGGTTCACGCGAAATTTTTCGTTCAGTTTTTCGCGTTCGTCTCACCCGCGGACTACGCGTCGTTATAACGACGTATTATCGAGTCAATCGTTATCGCGCGCGAGTCGCGAACGCCGCACCGTGCAGTAGGACAAGGTGAAATCGCCGAAAAATACCGAATTGTTCGACGTTGTTTCGATTAATTCTTTTCTTTTCGTCGACTTCCCCCCCCCCCCCCCGTTTCTTTCCACCGACGACACGACAAAAATGCAGGTGCCCCGGCCGCGTAACGACGTTCGAGATTAGAATCGCGTGATGATTAGCCGATGGTTTGTGCACTTAAAAAAAATCTACACGGTCGTCCGATGACGGGCAAGTCGGATTCATAAAATCGGTGCATTAACTCATTGTTATTATTATTACTACACCTACTGCACCGAACGCCCGTTATTGACAATAAAACCATTACAGCGAAAATTAACGATTCCTCAGCCGGACTAATGTTTGTTTATGTTGCGCGGGGGGGGGGAACACCGCCGCGCGCGAATAAAGGACCTTCGAAAATTAAGTGCTATATTGTTAGCGTCGCGGCGTAACGGTCGTGTACGTTATCGTTGCATTATTGTACACGGATCGCGCGTTATCATTAACGTTCGCGGTCGCTGCGCCCTGGACCAACAAACAATCGACATTCCGTCCCAGTTTTTGGACCCCTCGGACTCGTTTCGCATTACACGGCAATATTTTTTTTTAGAGGCCCGAAGAAAACCGTATCTCATATTGTACGGTCACCGTACAAATGCCGTCGCCTTGCAGCAACCGTTTACTGCCAGCGTTTCATCAAACTGTGTTCCGCGAAGCTTAAGTAATCTTATTAAAATTGTTCAAGAAAATAACTTTAAAATGTCCAACTAAAGATTAGTAAAAATGTTTGCATAACAATGTACAAGCCATATGGAACAATCTAATTAAAGTAATTATTGTTAAAGTGTTGTTATGTATGTATACTATTATTTTTATTTTTATTTTAACAAATTATTATTATATGATTATAATTTGTTTACAAATAATCCTAAAAAATGCTAAAAAAAAAAAAAATGTGGATCAATGTGGACATCAAAAACATAAAATTTTTAAATATTTTTATTTTTTTTTAGCGATTTTCATAGCTATTGATGTAATTTTCTTAACATTTCGGGGAACGCTGCAGCTCACTCCACCCTCCACCCCCTAAACTGTGGTGGAAACGCGCACACGGCTACAACGTGCATCGCGAGTACGTGTTTTCCCGTTCCCCGCGTATGAGCGATATTTAAATCGGAACCGCGTTGTACGGCAAAACGCTAGACGACGGTGTTCGAAGTGATTTGATGTATTCAAAGTGCACTCGGTTTATCCGGTTTATTAGAAATTTATCGTGTAACACTCTCGCAAAGTTTACAAAAACGTTACTGAAACAACATTTGGTCCGCGCAACAAAAGTTTGGAGGAAAGTTTGCGGCGGCATACTGCGGTACACACAAAGTATTTTACAACGGATTTGACTACTAATCCTTATGCAAATCTACCGACGCCGATGTCTACTCGAGAAGATTTTAATGGAAACCTTTGGTATTATTAATAATTTCCGGTATTTTTAAACGCACGCACACATCTACTTGTGTGCAGAAGGTGTCCGGAGTAGTCCCTGTTTGAACTTCGCTTTTATTCTCCGACCGGTCGTGAGATTGTTCCAAGAGCAAACTGTTTGCGTCGAAAGGAATAACAGTGTTATTGAAAACAATTAATACCACGTAATAATATGTTTACTAGCGAGAATATCGACCGCGTTCAATCCGACCGTAAAGTTTTGCATAATTTCAACCCCGAAGGAAGCTTAATTGTTCATTATTCACTCTCGCGTCGAAAAATTGCCATTTTCTTTAGGTTTATTTTTTTAATTTTCGTTTTTTTTGTCGTAGTCGATTGCTTCCCAAGAGACGACGTGCTGAAAATTAAGTGCCGTCATCTCGCAATCGCCACCGAGGTGGAGCATACGGACACTTTACACGCATAGTGTTACAACACAGGTACAGGAATAAAACCATAACTCCGAGTAGATACATAAAAATAAAATTTATTTAAGGTATTTCACAATGTTTTCGTTACATTTATAATAATGTCGTACGGTTAAACGCACGTGAACATGGTGTTGCGGTCGAATGACAATAATGAACTAGAGAGTCGATACACAACTTTGTACACTGAGATCTATCACGATAACGGCGGATTTCATGACGATCGCAAAACCGAATGTCGAGCGATAAGTGTTTTTACCTTTTTTTTTACCTAACTAACGATAAATCTAGATTTTGAAACGGTTCGTCTGCACTGTGACCGTGGTCAGTGCGTGGTAACTGAGCCGAAGATGGCCGCGGACGCCGCTGGCGGTCAGTACGAGGTACTGTGCGACGGGCCGTACGAGTTACCGTACGAGCCGCTGCTGCTGCTGCTGTACGAGCTGGGGCCGTGATCGTACTCGTCGTGATGGCTGTGCACCTCGTACGGCACCGGCACCTCGACCTTGACCGGAACCTTAACCGGGTACGGGACGGGCTTCTCGACCGCGTACGGCACCGGCTTGTCGACCGGGTACGGCACGTGCTTCTCGACGGCCACCGGGTACGGGCGGTCGACCGGTACGTGGACGGCGTACGGCACCGGCTTTTCAACCGGGTACGGGACGTGCTTCTCGACGGGTACGTGCACCGGGTACGGTCTGTCAACGGGCACGCTGACCGGGTACGGGACTTGCTTCTCGACCGGGTACGGGACGTGCTTCTCGACGTACACTGGGTACGGTTTGGGAACGTGCACCGGGTACGGCCTGTCCACGGGCACCTTGACCGGGTACGGCACCTCCTTGTACACCGGGTACGGCTGCGGCACGGCCACCTTGACCGCGTACGGCACCGGCTTCTCCACGTGCACCGGGTACGGTCGGGCTACGGGCACGGGGTACGGCCTGTCCACGGGCACGGCCACGTTCACCGGGTACGGCACGTGCTTCTCGACGGGCACCGGGTACGGGTGCGCCACCTCCTTGACGACGGTCTTGGACAGCAGCTGACCGTGACCGTGGTAACCGTAACCGTAACCGGCGGCAGCCTCTGCGCCGTAACCGTAACCGTAACCGTGGCCGGCGGACAGGGCGTGCGAGTAACCGCCGTAGCCCAGCTCGAACAGACTCCTCTTGTTCTGGACCTTGCTGACCTTGGCGTCCGCCTCGGTCTTGTCCTCCTTCTTGACATCAGCGGTGGCGAACGCGCACGCGCACACGCCGAGCGCGCATACCGCGTACATTAGACCCTTCATGTTGCGTGTTTGATCGGACAGATGCGTCGAACGCTGGAAAACGATGTAGTGTATCGGTTGTGTTCGCTGACCGGTAGTGCCGGACGACTGACCGTTGATCGCTCGAACCTGCCGGTTTTGTAGCGTCCGCCGACCGAAAAAGGAAGTGGACACCGCTGCGACACTCGCCCCCGCCCCATCATCCCCACCGGCCACCGTTTGGCTTTGGTCGTCGTCGTCGTCGTCTTGGTAGTCGTCGTGGTCGTGGTCGTCGTCGGCGCAGGATCAAGAACTGGGCGGCTGTGCGAAGCGCGGGGAACAGGAGGACATCAGACCTACTTTCTAGACCTGGTTCTGTGCCGAGGTCCGCGTGCGTGCGCGTACTCGTATATACTCGTATGTACTCGAATACTCGTATTCGCGCGTAGGACATTATGCGATTGCGTAACATTCGACGTTATTAACATTACAATGTATTGCAGTTCGCGAGACTTACGGTTTTCGATTTATTTATTATTTTTTTAATGTAAATTAAGTCGAATCTTGTGATCGTCGCGGTCCTGTGCACCACCGCACGCGCAGGTCGTCCGCTCACGCCGCCGTTCCTTCGGTTCACGCGGCAACAGTGCACCGCGTACGTGTAGGAGTAACACCCCGAAATGTTTTAAAAGGAGGCCCTGCAGCTCAAGTCTAAGAGAGAGTAAGGGGCTCGTGTTTCGACTGATGGCGCTCAAATGAAACGCAATCCGTTCAAGTGTGTTTGGTGACAAATAAACGATGTTTCGTCGTAGGAAAAAAAATCGAACAACGTTTTCTACGTTTCCGTGCACCAACGCATTATGATTGTATATCAGCAGCTACGATTTACTTAAAAATTAAAAATCGCAAACAATCGAAGATATCCGAGAAAAAATTATTCGGGACGAATGCATCCCGGTGTTAAATGAAAAACGAAATGTATTGTTTGTCTAATTGTATTGCTATTTATTAAACACGCCTACACGTTTCGTTAATACGGGTTCCAAAAGTGTTGTAGGCTCCCTCTGAAATGCGCGCACGTCTACGATCGTATCCGACGGCTGACGTACCCAGGGCCTGTGCGATGATTACGCGCGTCAGTTGCGCCCGCGACGAACGGCGTCGGACGAGGACGCTGTTCGAACTTACGTTTGATCCCTTGGGTCATTTTCACCCCTGTACGCGGGCAAATAATTTTCATCAAAAACAGTGCTACGATATTCGTCACGAGCGCTTATAACCTTATCGATATCGAGGTGTACAAATATGGAAAATCGCTTTTTAAACATTACGAGACGTATTTGGCGGGCTGCGTTGAATAACGTTTTGCGGTTTGCCGACGCCTGGACCTAGGTGTGTACGACTTCTTGCGATTCCTCACGACCGCTGGGACGGTTGCTTAATTTAATCACTTCGATAAAGGCGTGCGAGCGCACGAAATTGTTCGGGTCTTATTTTCTCTTTTTTCTTCGCGTTTTATATTTATCGCTGATCAGGGTTTCCATTGCACCCCGACCGCAGATTATTTTGCCTCCGGACGCGTTCGAGTCAATCATCCGATCAGGATCGTTCAAAATCCCCCGACGGTCGATTTCTAGTACCGCGTCAATTAACGCAGTCGGCCTTGGCGGTACAATATCTGTATATCCAACCAATTATGCAGATTATACGTATTCTACAGCAAACAATAGAAAGTTCGATAATCACTTCTACGCGTGCGTAACGCGTTCCACAGATACTATTTTTAGCTTTATCCCGATCCAGATATGAGATGTCGAAACGTCTATTATCTCGTACCAACGCCCGTTTTGCTTATTACGTGTTTTTTCGTACGAATTTCGAACCCGGTCCGGTAACGTTATTATTTTTATTCATAATTTATAGTCTTATTTATTTTAAATCGCATCGGGTCGATTTGTTTAACGACCTAAACGAAACTGAATGGGTACATGACATTTCGATTAAAATCAATTATATAATATATATGTTATTACTCGGTCGGCCGAGACTCGAATCCGATGATCATTATATTATTGTCGGGTTTTCGCCATATTGTGTTTATACGAATGCCAAGCGAGTATATGCATGGCTATTACAATAAACGGCTGTACGTAGCCGATTGAAATCAAACACAATCGAAACATGTATTAATCATTTTTAATTATTTCATAACCGACGATGGATAAAACATTTTTTTTTCTCTCTTTCGTGTAACCGTCCTTTCCGTTTATTTTTCCCATCGTTTCACCTGTCCGTCAAACATGTGGTCCGCGCACTATTTGTTCTTGATCCTGTCTTGAAACATTACGCAATAAAATATCATGTTTGTATGGAAATGCAAATACCACGGTAGGTACATACAGTGGTATTTTATTGTCCGGAAAAAGATAAGTAATCGTCGACAAGTATTCATACAATCGTCACACGATTACGTTTTTATAAAAGAATAACAGAATAACAGTTACGGGTAAAGTTGGACGGTAGAAGGGGTCCGAAAAATCGCAAATTCTAGTAGACATCGATTCTGATTTAATACTATGTGCTCGCTGTCCCTGCAGTGTTACGGAGGCGTGGACGGAATAGCGCAGTGCGATCCGAGTGATAAAATGTTCAACATAAAACAAGAGTTCATCGTGTAAAAATATTACGTATTTTATCACCAAATACCGACAAGGAATGTATAATATCATCAACTGTGGGTTTTATAGCAGTTGTCTGATGTTTATGGATGCATACGGTTCTCTATCGTGAGCCCGATACGCAAATATATGTTCTCGATATTATATTGGACTATAAGTGGAAAAAAAAAAAAAACCAGAAATATAACTTGTAACATATTATTCAACTGAAGCGTAAACACGCATCAATAAACATTTAAACGCACATAGATTTGATCTACATTTAAACTAATGAGGTTTACGTGCGACCGACTATGGTATTAATTGCTTAAATACACAGTTTTAGAAACTTTCCAATGACGCGATTGTAGAAATTACGACCATGTAAATTTTACTTGCACTTGGTAGGCATATCATAAACACAGTGTTAAAAATGACGGTGTTATCATCATAGATATTTTGTAATCGAATTAGTTGATTTCTTTCAATTTGGAAATATATTTTTGAAAAATCGTTAGTCAGGTACAGTAAATATTTTTATTAAAAAAAAAAAAAAACATGAAAATTTACTTTTGCGCAATGTAATATTACATAATTGGTATGCGAGTATTCGTGTACCTACTATATAGACCCGAGACACATTCTTTGATTAAATTAAAATCAGCAGAACTGGTATAGTTTAATTATGATCTTTTTTTTTTTTTTTTTACGCAGTTATTCGCGTCGGAGAATGTTCAGCAAATTATATTTATTTATTATTTATTTATATTAATATTATAGTATTATTACGTTGTCGGAAATCAATATTTTTTATTTGATAAAACGTAGTTTACAATAACGTCGTCGGCTATGACGTTTTCTTTCTACTCCGGTCGATCGCCAGACCGGTATTGAAATATTCGAACAGAAATTTTTAATTCGTTCGTCCCGCACATTACTCGATTGACTTTATTAGACGCATACACACGCGCACTACAATATTGATTCGGTTTCCGTATTAACTTTGAGATATGTGGACGGTCACGACCGGAATGATCGCGCGTAAGACGGAGCTGATTTCCAAACGTCGTCGTTCGTCGTCACCCGAAACGTGATCACCCGGTTTTCCGTGTACACAACAATGCCACAAAACATGATTATAACAGTATTGCGTACCCGCCGTCCGCACTGAACGGTCGCGATTGTTTGCAGGTCACCTACGGACACGCATTCGGGACCCACCCAGGTTTACGACCGCAAACTCTGTGCATTGCGACGGTTGCTCGTTTGTCGCTCGCCACGACGGCGAACGTAGCACGATATATCGGCGTGAACCATTTTTTCCCCCTTCACGAGCCTAAGAAGAAAATATCCATAAACGTGCGGTCGTCGTAGTGCTCTATTGTCGTTTTTTCGAAATTCGACTGCGTTCGAATTAAAAACGGATTTCAACAAAATCTGCGTAGCATTTTCGACGAAAACGGCAAAACTTGTTAAGACGATAATCGAATTGTTTCACGTCGTTTTATCCCTGTAGCAATTGAACTGGAAACGTTATGAAACAGTACACTCGATTGCCATATCGTTCCGAAAAAGACTCAAGGAGTGTTGCAAGTGTTTCAATGATTTTTTTTTTTTTTTTTACTGACCGTATTTATATTCACTTTTATTGGGCATCTTGCCCGTCCAAATCGATAAAATGAAAAAAATCAAATTAATTAATCATTTCTCAGTCCGTACGAATCGAATCAATTGTTTTTATTCACTTCTAATGGTTTGCGGTTATACGGACATGACGAAGAATGCACGCGTGTGCTCTACAGTTTGATTCTAGTCAAAACCCATTAAACAAATTAAGACAAATTTAAAATTGATCGGTTTGAGTCTCTGACCGAAAAGTTGCGTACGATTAAAAAGTTGGCTACGGGATGAAAAAAGTACATGTTGTTCTGACAGTTTAAAAAGCGGCTTTTTTGAAAAAATTTTCAAAATATATGTTTAGTCGAGCGTTATTTAAACGTCTTCGCCGAACAACTTTTTTCCCGCAACAATATATTTTCCTGCAGATGTGTTGTACTTCGGTTCAATCAACGAAGTAGAAGCGTTCGGTAACGGATTTCAGCGTTACATCGCCAGTGTACAACGACTCGCGTTTTATTTTTTTGTCTTCACAATTTTTACCCGGCAACGGGGTTGAAATCCATCGGAACGGGTAAATGATCGCGGACAGCTTTCGGCCGACGACGGTACAGTGATCGCGCGAGACGGATCGGTCGGGAACGCGCGTACGTAAAAAAGATGTTCCCGACACGCGTATCGAAACGCGTTCGCCGAGGATTCATACGCGTTGAATTATTAGTATATTATTTTTCAATAAACCGGTTAATAATTCAATAAGTAATATCGATCCGCACGTATTGAGATGGACAATAGGTTCATCTGGAGAACCTGGTCGCGACGTGTTGTTGTTCGCGTGAGGATCGTCGTCGTCAGTCGCGATCGTCAAA